TATAGACTAGACTATAGACTAGACTTGTATAAATTTGTTTAATTTCATTTTTAAGAAAATTTAGTTCTTTTGATATTCAATAAAAATATTTCTTTCAGTGTATAATTTTAAGATTTATCAGGTTGTTGCTATAGACTCTTGACTATTCGTCCATTATTATGTAATAGAAGAAAATGCGCTCAAGCAAATCGCTAAAATAGAAAAATAATAACAACAACAAAAAAACCGATACATTGTTTTAACGGACGGCAAACATGTGAGGGTACAAATCTAATACCCCGTGTGCACCTACATACATACATATATAGATACATATATAGTAACTTTGTAGAGAAGAAAAGAAATATTTGAAAAATTCGAAACATGTGCATGAATGCGCAAAGTTTTCAGACTCATACTTTTAAACGAGTTAAAGTACATTTTATGTTTGTTTCGTTTCGTTTAGTTTCTTCTGTCTATTTGAAGAGGTATCAATTTTGTTCAATAAAAACTACATTCCGTGGCATAAACATCAATTATCTAATAGTTTCTTTAAAGTTTCAAATGCAGCAACTGCAACCAACACCACCGCCTCTGCTGCTGCTGCTGTTGTTGCTGCTACTTAATACAATATCAATTACATTTTATAATGCCAGAGAATTGAAAAGGAAAAAAAATTCCAATAATAAAACTTAAACAATTTAAATTAAATGTTAAATGAATTGAAAATGTTTTTAATACTTGTAGTCGTTGTAATAAGTATTATTCATTATTGATGTAAATTCAAATAATTAATTTGCATTTTCTAAGAGACTGATTTGATTTAATCATAATTTGTATGCAACTTTTATTGCATATAATAATTCAATGGAAAACATGCATTTTGTATAAAAGATTTATTTTGTAAACTTATGCTGAATGCGGAAGGAAAAATTTATGGAAGAAACTGTTTAATGGAAAATAAGAAATATTAATTTATGTAGGATAATTGTATTAAATTTTCAATTAAATTACAACTCCTAAGAGCATTTCAAAATCCCAGCCAAACAAACGAATCAAAAAAAAGTTCCATAGTAAATGAATTAAAATATTTACATACTTATTTAGTTAATTGCCGCTAACATGTTTGTTTTCCTTTTTATTCTATAACATTTTAATTGTCTCAATTAAACCTTAACAGTTTTGACCGATGGTCATAAAATGTACTTGTACACCAACTAATTAACAATAAAAACACTTGTCATAACAAATTGACACTTGAAATACAATGACATTCATTCGCAACATACCAAATTAAATTCTAACATCACAATTGCTGTTTAATTAAAATATTAAATTGTCAGTTCAAAATACAAAAAAAACACTAAACTAGTTCTTTAACTTTGGGTTAAAAAAGTGACCAACACTGTCATTAAATATCATGCTATAAGCGCCATATAAAAAACATATTTATGTTTGTTGGTCTGTCTGTTAGTGTTACACCAAGAAATATGAATTCAGCAAACAATTGTTATTGTTATTTTCTTAGAAAATTTATTGTTGAATTTGAATTCATGGTCACTTTTAATAAAAAAAGATCGTAAATATAAAGTAGTGTACAAAAAAATTATTATTAAAAAAAAACACCTGTCATAAATAAACATATTGACACTGGGGGCTCACAGTTAACATGACATACAGCTCAAGGGGTGCCAACATTACTTTAAATAGATTCATGTTAAATTATAGATCTTTGTTGATTGTCTTTATGTTTATTTGCATATGGAAAATGTGAGCTTTTTTTAATTATAATTTTGATTTTAATTAAAATATGTTCAATGAAAATTTCTTAAACAATTTTGCAATTGTGCAATAAAATTGGAATTTTATTTTAAAATTTGACATATTTGAAAAAAAAACTAAATTGTTACATTGAAATTTTAACACTAAATTGATAAAATTACAATTTTAGTTCTAATATTAATCAATTGAAATTTTAGTACAAACTTAAAATTTTATAACAAAATGTAAATTTTAGTACAAATTGGATATTTTAGTACTAAATTATACTTTCAGAACTAAATTTAAAGTTTAATTCAAAACTGTACAAAGAAGAGAAGTTTTCGTACTAAGTTTAAATCAATGTTTTAGTATACAATTAGGGCCAATCTTTAGGTGAAAGATTAGCGATTAAATTAAAATTAATCCTCGAAAGATGTTTTTGAGTACTCAATTAGTTAATTTTGTTTGCAAGTTTAAGCGCCCAATGGAGGTGGTTTAATCTTAAGCACGAAATGCAAAAGTGTAAACAGCTGATGCAAAAAAATTAATAAAATTTTTATAAATATAAACATTAAAATGTTCTATTTATTGATTAGTATAAATTATGGACATTTCAAAATACATTTTTTTGTTTTTATTTTAAGTTTTCATTAATTTTCATATTAAATTTACAATTGTCTTCTTCTTTTTTATAAAATATGCATTGTTTTGATAACAAACAGTCCATTTTCTGTTGTTTTGTATGGCAACACTGCGAAGTTTAATCTTGTACTCAAAAACATCAAATGGTATTAACATTGGATTAAATTTATTTTTAGATTAACTAATCTAATTATTAATTGCCATTTGATTGCCAACTCAAAAACCCGGTCTTAAAGTTTAAATACAGATTTAGTTAAGTTTAGTACAAAATTAATATTTTAGTACAATATTAGCACAAAATTTAATTTTTTGGACAAAATTTAAATTTTAATACATAATTTAAACTTAGTACAAAACTAAAATTTTAGTACAAAATTGAAGTTTAGTACAAAATAGCAATTTTAGTATAAAATTGAAGTTTAGTACAAAATTTAAATGTTAGTACAAAATTTAAAATTTTAGTACAAAATTTAAAATTTTAGTACAAAATATAAATTTTAGAACAACATTAAAAGTTTAGTACAAAATTGAAATTTTACAAAGAAGCAAAGAAGTTTTAGTACTAAATTCAATTCAAAGTATTAGTACACAATTAAATTGAAGTTTTAGTACAAAATTATAAATTTATTTGAAATTTTAGTACGAAATTGAAATTTTAGTACAAAAATTATATTTTAGTACAAAAAAACATTTTAGTTTTAGTACGTAATTGAAATTTTAGCACAAAATTGAAATTTTATAAGAAAATGTAAATTTTTTTTGATATTATAAATTATACTTTTAGAACTAAATTTAAAGTTTAATTTAAAACTGTACAAAGAAGTACTAAATTGAATTTAAAGTTTTAGTATACAATTAAAGTTTTAATACAGAATTAATTAAGTTTAGTACAAAGTTTTAGAACGAAATGTTAGTTCTAGTTTAAAGTTGAATTTTTAGTACCAAATTTAATTAAATTTGGTACTAAATTTAAATTTAGTACCAAATTTAGTTAAAAAGTTGAATTTTAATACAAAATTTAAAATTTAGTGCAAAAGTGCAGTTTAGTACAAAATTGAAATTTTAGTACAAAATTAAAATATTAGTACAAAATTAAAATTTTAGTACAAAATTAAAATTTTAGTACAAAATTAAAATTTTAGTACAAAATTAAAATTTTAGTACAAAATTAAAATTTTAGTAAAAAATTAAAATTTTAGTACAAAATTAAAATTTTAGTACAAAATTAAAATTTTAGAACACAACTAAAGTTTTAGTACAAAATTGAAATTTAGTACAAAATTTAAGTTTAATATAAATTTCAATTTTAGCACAAAATTGAAATTTTAGCACAAAATTTAAATTTAGAAAAAACTGTAAACTTTAGTTAATATTTTGGTACTAAATTATACTTTTAGAACTAAATTTAAAGTCAAACTGAAAACTGTACAAAGAAGAGAAGTTTTAAATTCAATTCAAAGTTTCAGTACACAATTAAAGTTTTAATACAAAATTAGAAGTTTAGTACAAAATTTAAAGTTTAATACAAAATTTTAGAACGAAATGTTAGTTCTAGTTCAAAGTTGAATTTTAGTACAAAATCGCAATTTAGTACAAAAATTAAATTTTAGTGCAAAATTGAAATTTTAGTACAAAATTAAAATTTTAGTACATACAAAATTAAAATATTAGTACAAAATTAAAATTATAGTACAAAATTAAAGTTTAGTACAAAATTAAAATTTTAGTACAAAATTAAAATTTTAGTATAAAATTAAAATTTTAGTACAAAATTTAAAATTTCAGTACAAACTAGAAATTTTAGAACAACACTAAAAGTTTGGTACAAATTTAAAACATTTTTTACTAAATATTTTATAAAATCTAATTTCAAATTTAGTACAGAATTGTGAATTTAGTACAAAATATTTAATTTTGGAGCTAATTTTGACTTCATCATATGAATATTTTCTCTTTGACTGCTTAAGAATCAAAAGACTTACGAAACAAACTTTGTTGACAAATTTCATTTGGAAGACTTAAGAAACATACTTGTTATACTTGGAAAATGTATAAAAACATCAAAGACTTAAGAAACGAAATTTTCATTTTCCTTTCAAAACAGAAGACTTAAGCAACAAACTTTAGTTTAATTAAAACTAATAAGACAGAGTGAGAGAGGGAGTAAAATAAAAAGATTTAAGAAATAAACTTTATTTAGTACGATATCGAAATTAAGCTAAAATAAAATCTCTTGCTGAATATCGTATGATATCAATTGAAAAAGCTAAATTATGATCAAATTTACTCGATCACATATTTTTCCTAATGTTTTTTTTTTTAATTTCTTAAATATTTTTCAAGTGGCCTACTCTAGCCTCAATCCAACATTTAGCAACTATTTAAAGAATTACACAATTTTTTACTTCCAAGTGCTAATTTAATTTAAAAAAAAAAAAAACTGTTCAACTCAACCTTCTTAATTAGCGAAATAATTCTGTATATTAGATTTTAAAATACTAACTAAGATACAAGCTTTTGAGCGATACTTTTTTTTGATAAAAAAGTACTTTTCGAATGTTTCTTCTAAATCTAAATTCTAATCTATATGTAAAAGAAAATAATATTTCTCAACTTACCTTCTTTGGTTAAAGCTTCCGTATTATTATCATCGTCTAGAGTTAAATTATCGTTATCATCGCCATCATAATCCTTCGATTCGTATTCGACCTGGGAAGTATCGATATCATAGAAATTAACACGGGTTACGTGGCGGACATAATTAGTGGTGTTAGTAATATAATTAGAATTCTTATATGTTTTAGATTTGGAAGAGTTGGAGGGTGGTAAATAGTTTTTGTTTTTGCTGCTAGGGGCTTTGTGAAATGCAGTTGTAGTTGAGGATGTAGGTGTGCTTGTGGATACTGCGGTCGGTGGTGGCGGTTTCTTTGCGAGCGTCTCTTGTTGCTGTATTGAATGCTCTGGTATTGTGGCCAAAGTCGGATGTGACTGTGATCTGCAGCGAGGTGGTTTTGGTACAATATTTGCACATATTTTAACATTGTTACGGGGATCAGTATTGACATTTTGATCGTAGAATAGAAATTCTTCTTGTTGATTTCTAGCCGCAACATAAGTGGGTGGTTTACTTTTCGGTAAAGGAGGCGGGGGTGGTGAAACTGTTGAATATTTATAATGACTAGTAGTATTTTCTGATAAAGCAGTAGCAGTATGATGAAGCTGAGGAGTAGCGTTTTCTCTATAAGGATAAAATTCTGCAGTTGTTGCTGATAATGGTGGTGGTTCTGGTGGTGTGGCAGTATAATAATACGATGAAGCAATTTGTTGATTATTATTGTTATAATCTTCCAACGATTTACTATTAGAAGAAACTTGTTGTCGTTGCTGTTGCTGGTGTTGTTGTGGTAGATTATAGTCGATATTGTGTATGGCAGTTTCGCCGGTTGATGTTGTCGATGTGGCAGGACTGCTGCTTTCATTTGATCTTCCATCACAGCCATTTGTAGAATATGGCGGCAATAGTAAAATCACCACCATTCGATCATTTGAAATAGTTCATTCATTTATTTGTGTGACAACTTTTTATATGAAAAAGATACTGCTCGTGTTCAAGAATAATTTTAGATTTTTATGTGTGTGCTTTTTTTTTTTTTTTTTTTTTTTTGACTTTGGAAAAAATTTCTAAGGTTTTCGTTTATATTATTTGTTTTTTAACTTTAATATTGTCTAGCCATTTTGAATAGTGTAATTTTCTCATTATTCTATTGTTGATTTAGTTTTTTTCTTTTTCTTTCTTTTAAAATGCATTAATTAGTTTATTTTTTACTTTAGTTTAGTTTAGTTTTTACTCTTATTATTTAGTGTTGTATTAAATCATTATTACTGTTTGTTTTGCAAGTTTTTCACTTTGTTTAAATAATGCAAATTTTAACGGAAGATGACTTCATACTACAATATTATGGTTGAGTTTTTTTTTTAATTTTTTTGTGTTTTGCTATTTTTTATTTGTTATTATTTTTTAATACTTGTTTTAGTTTTGCATTTAATTTTTCTATTTTCAGTTTCCTTGTAATTGTGCTGTATATTACAGTGAGAGAAAAACGAATTGGAATGGAAATGGAATGGAAAGAATGAGATCGATTCTAAAGTTTAGAATCATTTGTCGGATATATTACTTGGATTTTTTGTTAAAAACATTTCAATAGACAAGTTCATAAATAGCATATACTATAAACAGATCTGTCAATAGATAAATCTATAGACTAGTCAAAATACTAGACAACAGACTCATCAATAGACTAGACAACAGACTAGTCAATGGACTAATTCATCGATTTGTCCATAAGCCCGTTTATAGACAAGTCCATAACCTAGTCAATAGACTATTCTCTTGACTAGATAATAGACTAGTCAATAGACTAATCAATAGACTATTCTCTTGACGAGACAACAGATCAGTCCATAGATTGCTCAACAGACTAGTCCATAGACTAATGAATAAACTAATCAATAAACTGATCAATAGACTAGTCCTTAGTCTAGTCAATACATATTAGACAACAGACTAGTAAATAGACTGGCCGATAGATTTGTCCATAGACTAATCAATAGTCTAGTCCTTAGACCAGATAACAGACTATACAATACCGATTAACCCATATACTAGTCAATAAACTAGTCCATGACATAAAGAACAGTTCAATTCATCAATATCAATCAATAGACTAGCATATAGACAAGATAAAAGACCAGTCCATAGATTGTTCCATAGACTAATTAATAGATTAGCCAATAGACCTGACAATAGACTAGTCCTTAGACAACAGACTAGTCAATAGACTGGTCCATATATTAGTCCATAGATCAATAGAGAACAGACTAGTCAATAGACTAGACAATGAACTAGTCATAGGCTAGTCAATAGACTAATCCATACACTAGCCAATAGTCTAGTCTGTAGACTAATCCATAGACTAGTCAAGAGATAAGTCCATAGACTAATCAATAGCCTAGTCCTTGGGCTAGATAACAGACAAGTCCATAGACCACTAGTCCTTATGCTAGAGAACATACTAGTTAATAGACTGGTCCATAAATTAGTCCATAGGCTAATAGTTTATATAATAGAGTCTATATACTAGTCAATAGACTAATCCATAAACTATTCAATTGACCATAGATTAATCAATAGACTAACCAATAGTCTAGTCAATAGACTAATTATTAGACTAGTCAATAGACAATTCCATAGACTAGTCTGTAGACTAAACAACAGGCCAGTCCATATGGACTATTCAATAGACTAGTCCATATAGTAATCAATGGACTAGTTCTTAGACTACAGTTTAGACTTATCCATAGATCAGTCAATAGACTAGTTCTTAGACAACTAGTCCTTAGAGAACAGATTAATCCATATACATACTAGTCAATAAACATGTGTATAGACTAACCAATAGTTCATAGGCTAGAGAACAGACTAGCACATAGACCAGTCAATAGACAACAGACTAGTCAATAGACTGATCCACAAATTAGTCTATAGACCAGTCAATAGATTAGGTCATAAAATAGGGAACAGATTAATCCATATATATTTTTTTTTAATTCTGTTTCAACTCTTTCTTTTCTCTCTCTGTAAATAAAATTGTACTCTTTTTCAAAACAATTTAACAGTACACATCACACAATCATTTATTTTTTTATTGTATTTTTTTGTTATTCATTTGACTACATTATTGTTTTGTTTTTGTATTTAATGATTTTTGATGATCATTATCACTGCGATTATTTATTCATTCACACGAAACTATTTTTTATTTAAAACCAATGATGCCAATGATTTTGTTTTTTTGATTTCTTTGTATTATTAGTTCCTGTATAGAGGATAAATTATTTGATGATTTTGATGTTTGATAATTGTTTTTCGCTCACATGAAATGTAATTTGTTTTGCTAGTTTGTTGTATTTGTCATTTATACTTTTTTTAGATCTTTTTTGTTTTGAAAATGTGTGTGTTTGTATTTGGTTTTGTTAAGTTTTCCTTTTTTGAGGTTGCTGCTGTTGTTGTTGTTGGTGGTGGTGATGTAGTTTGTTGTTGTTGAGTTACTCAATAGTTCGCCCTAGATTTTTGACTCACGACATTCAAGTTAAAAATATAAAATATGCACTGCAACAATAGCAATAAAAACAACAGCAACAACAACTCTAACTACAACAATAACTAAAATTTTAATGTTTATCGTACATACAATTGTGGGATACACACTAGTATCTCTTTGTAAATTTAACTATAAAAGTTTTAAATTTCTGTGTTTTTTGTCAGCTTTTTTTTTCTTATATCTTACTAAGAGTTTTTTATTATTTTTATATGTATTTTGTGCTGTTTTTTGCGACTTTTTATGACAAGCTTTAACCCCCCAGGTTTAAACTACATAATTAATAATTTAATAAAAAAATAACTAAGTACCAAGTTATTATTTATATTAAAGTTAAACAACAAAATTTTGGAGGTTATGCTAGTGGAAAATACCTGCTTAACTTTAAAGATTTATTTATTATGGGAAATTTTTCTTCAATTTTATTTTGTTTGTTATATTGTTTTGATTATTTTTGTTATAGTAATTAATTAAAGAAGATTTCAAGTTTTTTGTTTTTTTTTCACTTAAATGTAAAAGTTTGGGGACCTTGATTTGTTGGTTTTAAATTTTAGATTTATTAATGCAATTTAGTTTTATTTATTAAAAAAGCATGTTTCAAATTTGTTTCCATATCAATTATATTATAAGAAACCTTGGCTTTTAAATCTTAAAGACAAATTTTTTAATTTATAAGTTAATTTGTATTTTATTTGCTTTAGATTAAATTAACATTTAAGATAGTGACTTAAAAATGTAAACATTATAAATCCATTTATATTTTACAAAACCAAGGTTAGTTCTAGAAAATAAGCAAAATATTTATAGCTAGTAAATCCCTTAGTATTCTTTTCTTCTCAAAATTTAATTTATGCTTCGTTCTACATATATATTTTACAAAAATTTGTACTACTTTAATCAAATAAATTTTCAAAACATTAGCCTTAAATACCATTTAAACATTTCTTTAATATTTTACTCGCATATACAATAACAAATTAAGAACTTTCAAAAAAATATTAAACTCAATATGAAAAAATATCAAATTGAAATGCTAAACGCACATTTTGAATACCGGTTTCATTTAAAATAACATACCAATAATACACTTAAAGAAAATAATAAGTAAAAATTGCAAAAGAATGTCTCTAAGAACTCATTTGGGTTCAATTTCATTTGTTCAATTATAAAATTTGTGAGCAATTTAATTAAATATTCAAAAATCGTTCGCATTGTTCTTAACAGTCTTAACAATTTGACGACTAATATGTAAGTAAAAAATTAACAAATATGGGTTGAAAAAAAAAATTTAACAAATAAAAATAAAATTGTTGCTGTTTAATTTTTTTAAGCTTTTTTGCTTAAAGTCTAATAAAACAGCAGCAGCTCGTGACCGGGTCTTATTTATATGATATTTAAAAAGACAGACAAACGGACGGAAAAAAGTTTACATCATTGACCAGATTATAACCACTAGATTATAGTGCTAGGCTATAGTCTGTCTATAGTCTATCATGTCTATTATAGTCTAGTCTATAAAGTCTACAGTCTATATCTAGTCTATAGTCTAGTCTACTGTCTATAGTCTAGTCTATAGTCTAGTCTATAGTATAGTGACTAAGGTCATGTCTATCTATAGTCTAGTCTATATCTGTCTATAGTCTAGTCTATAGTCTAGTCTATAGTCTAGTCTATAGTCTAGTCTATGTCTAGTCTAGTCTAATAGTCTTTAGTCTATCATAGTCTATAGTCTAGTCTAGTCTATAGTCTAGTCTATAGTCTAGTCTATAGTCTAGTCTATAGTCTAGTCTATAGTCTAGTCTATAGTCTAGTCTATAGTCTAGTCTATAGTCTAGTCTATAGTCTAGTCTATAGTCTAGTCTATAGTCTAGTCTATAGTCTAGTCTATAGTCTAGTCTATAGTCTAGTCTATAGTCTAGTCTATAGTCTAGTCTATAGTCTAGTCTATAGTCTAGTCTATAGTCTAGTCTATAGTCTAGTCTATAGTCTAGTCTATAGTCTAGTCTATAGTCTAGTCTATAGTCTAGTCTATAGTCTAGTCTATAGTCTAGTCTATAGTCTAGTCTATAGTCTAGTCTATAGTCTAGTCTATAGTCTAGTCTATAGTCTAGTCTATAGTCTAGTCTATAGTCTAGTCTATAGTCTAGTCTATAGTCTAGTCTATAGTCTAGTCTATAGTCTAGTCTATAGTCTAGTCTATAGTCTAGTCTATAGTCTAGTCTATAGTCTAGTCTATAGTCTAGTCTATAGTCTAGTCTATAGTCTAGTCTATAGTCTAGTCTATAGTCTAGTCTATAGTCTAGTCTATAGTCTAGTCTATAGTCTAGTCTATAGTCTAGTCTATAGTCTAGTCTATAGTCTAGTCTATAGTCTAGTCTATAGTCTAGTCTATAGTCTAGTCTATAGTCTAGTCTATAGTCTAGTCTAGTCTAGTCTATAGTCTAGTCTATAGTCTAGTCTATAGTCTAGTCTATAGTCTAGTCTATACTCTAGTCTATAGTCTAGTCTATAGTCTAGTCTATAGTCTAGTCTATAGTCTAGTCTATACTCTAGTCTATAGTCTAGTCTATAGTCTAGTCTATAGTCTAGTCTATAGTCTAGTATAGTCTAGTCTATACTCTAGTCCACACTCTAGTCCATACTCTAGTCTATACTCTAGTCTATACTCTAGTCTATAGTCTAATCTATAGTCTAGTTTATGGTCTTTGGTTTAGTCTATAGTCTAGTGTATAGTATAGTGTTTAGTCTAGTCTATAGTATAGTGTATTGTCTAGTCTATGGTCTAACAGCCAGCAACATTAACTGTAGTCTAGTCTATAGACTAGATTATATACTAGACTATGGACTAGACTTTAGATTAGACTATAAACTATACTTATATTTAAGATATTAGACTAGACTTTGGACTAAAACTGGACT